CAAAATGCTTTAGGATAACATGCTTTTAACACACTTTTGAGATGCAGACTCTGTTATCATAATGGGCAACCTGTAACTTTTAAACCTGATGATGAAAGACAATTGGAGGAAAGCATATAGAGTTCCCGAAGTCTGTGTGTGCTGTGGATGTACATGTAAGGCTGAGTGCAGCAGTGAAGCCACCAACAGTCCCTGGCTTAGGAAAATGCTACATTCAAGTTTTGACTATTAGGCTTCACTGAATCACTTCAAATAATGCTACAAATAAAAATGGATTTAGAGCATTTTAGGTGCCATGTGAGTTAAACTGAACCGTGGATCACTGAGATTATAATTTTGTTAGCATTGAAGTTCATTGAATTGCTTGTCTGCCTGTTACTTCATTAAAATTTGTCAGAGGGGCACATAGTCTTGTAGATGTCTTTATTCCTAAGGTATGTGTTTGTTATTACAAACTAATGGAAATGGGTGACTTCAGATTGTCAGTTAATTGCACATGTGAACCCATAAATAAAATGATTACTAGTAAAGAAATGCCAAGTCTAAATTGGTAACTAAGAAAATTATTCCATGTGCTATGAGTAAGGCAGTAAGTGTGCATTTTCCTCTGTTCACTGAAAAGAAACATTTAAAGCATAAAAGGAAAATGATGACAGACAATATGGAAATGTGCAAGCTGGTGTGGGACAATATAGACAAATGGATCTTTCAATGTGACCAGGTACTGGTTGCTCTGACGATAGAGATGTAGCTTAGAAAGAGAAATAGTAGCTTGGTTTTTTTTGTAATGCAGAGTCAGTGAAAGGACATCAACTTCCTAAGCAAAGGAACACTCAGCCTTATAACAATTAATGTCAGATCTAAAAAGCATTCTTAGAAAATTGAAGTGAAAGGATGTGTAAGTGCAGGTACCATTTTCAGTTCTTCAGTCTCCAAAGATCATTGCTGTTTGCGTTGAAACAGGATTTATTATTCATGACCATCCGGAGAGCACAAGTTATATTTCCTTGGATTTTATGAAGCAAGGCATGGTTCCCCCACAAAACAGTGGCATGTTCTTTGCAGCTGACAGTAACAGGGATGGCCCTTTGGATTATGTTAGAATAGTACTGAGTATTTCCCAAAAAACTATAGTGTCACCTCTGGGATAGGAAAGTATGAACAACTAATGTCTCCTGTGATACCATCTGGAGGAGTGATATCACAGTGACTTTGGTAAATCTTCCTTCTTACTATGTAATTGGAAATTTACTAAAATTTATAAAAAAATAATAATAATAATTGGAGTACATTAGTGTGTTTAGACACACTAATTACAAGTAGGTGTGATAGCCAAGTATAGCCAGTACCTGAGAAAACTATTACATGTTTATGGGTGGAAGAGACCTTTTTCTGTACTGTTTTGTTTTCCACTTTGCTTGTATTTCCCATGTACTGTGTTATGTTCCCCTAGTAGGAGATGACTGGTGCAGCAGAGTGTAGCTGTTATGCTCTGGCTATTGAAAGCAGTAAGCTGAGCGTGTGGGAACTGGCTGGAGGGAAGGAGGCCGCAAATCTCTTGATGTACACAGAATGCAAGCATCTGCATGGGGCCCGGCAGAAAGGGAGTAACTAGAAACAGCTGAGAGGGAGACAACATGGAAGGAATAAAGGGAAAGAAACTTCTCTGGTTAGTTATGTGGAGTTCAGTGCTATTCTGGAAGCCCTAAAAAGTGCAGGCGCTGAGAGCAAAGGCTGGATGGATGGAGAAGGCACTGTCTTATGAGGATGCAAGGGGAAGACTTGCCTACAAATTCTTTATCTTCCTTCTGTCTGAGGATAAACTCAGGAAATTGAATAGAATGGGATTTGGACGCTGGAGTTTCGTAAGATCAGCAACTAAACAGAACAACACGTAGAAGCAGGGGAGAACACAATGGAAAACAAAATGAGAAGATAATTGGAATAAATTTGATTTTCTTTTTTGGTAATAAGAAATTTCATAGTGAAGTGCCTAAGCTACAGAAGACTTCCTAAATTCAAGCTTTGTATCCTGCACCAAAGGCAGCCACGTTGCTGTTTTGAATGAGCCAGGTCCTAGAGTGATTGGCCTGAGGACTAGCACATTTCTACTGCAGCACACCTGCTGCTACAACTCCCCTCCTTCTCTTCTTCTGTTGGGTCAAAGCCCTGAGCCTCATCCAGGTAGCATGACAGGAGGCTGTGAGCTACCTGTGTGTCATGGTAGCTGTACGGTTACCACTGTGTCTGACTTTTGATTTGTGAGAAGTCACGTGTGAAAGTTGGAGGTGTAGGTAAGTGTATTTGTCTTAAAAGCATGCTACAAGTCTGTCTGGTACACGAATGCTTTCTGGTCTGCTCAGCGTGCCCTGTGATTTAATGCTGCCCGGTGAAGCAAATGGATTTCTGAACCTTATTGTTTAATAGGCATAATAAATATGACTTTGGTGTTTAAAGAGCTAAATCACAGGGATTTCTCATTTAGCACTATGTTTAATAGGCTTATTGTCAATCAATAAATCTAGCTGCTTAAAGAATTTAACTTAAGCAACTGTAATGGGTTGATAGAAGGTGGCTTTGCTTCAGTTTGACTTGAAACTATTCATGTAAAAATGTCTACTCGTTTAACTGTTTTGCAGTCCATGGTAGTGACTCTACTCCAGTTAAATGTAGAAGTTACTCTAAAGTGAGTGGGGCTTTTTGTGCATTTCTGCTTTTTTTTTCTTGCATTTGGTTTGTTGGATTGTGTGTTTTATTTTTACACTTAATCGGCCTAACATAAAGCAAACAAGCTGAGAAATGAATGTTTAGCTTATTCCATTTTTCTACTCTAATTCTGGTAGCTCTGTGCTCATTGTGATAAAATTTGAAAGGAAGTAAGAGTCTTTTAGGAAGATAATTTGAGAAATAAATCAGTTTCTCAAAAAGCACATAGGTGTTAGAGTGACAGCTTCCGTTCACATAAGTACTTATTTTGATAACAAGGTAAAGGGGAAAATGGAAAGAAAAGTTTTCAGAGTTTGAAAACAAGCATGTTTTCCATTGGACTGCCTTGAGAAGTAAACACGTTTCTTTGCAAAATATTCCATTGTATGTTATAATGTAGCTGTTATTTTCAGCACTATTAGCATTGTAGGATTTTTATGCAATCCTCCCTGCGATGTGTCAACAGCTAGCAGGATGTTCTGCATACTGACAATACTTAAAAGCAAGCTATATCAGTGTACAACCCCATTTTTGCTCTCCTTAAAAATATTTCCAGATTATTCTCTAACGTGCTTTTTCACTCTTCTTTTTCTCATAAGGCACCAAATGTTTGGTTTAAATTAAGTGTATTTTCTGTTAAAAAGTGATGTTTTTATTGTGTCTTCATAACGCTGAATTTAGCATGGTTTGTGCATGAGATGTTCTGGTATGCTAATATTGTTCTTTCATTTAACTGATGCAGATTTACAGAAAGGTCTGTATGTGTCTTATTCCTCATTTCATGAGGAATTACTTGCTAACAATTAAGAACAGTACTTATAAAATCTTGCTGAAAATTTACATCAAGGTAATTCCATTTTTCTGTGCTTGTAACAGTGCTGTAAGATAGTACTTGTTATTGTGGAGCGATATGCTTCAGAATCAGGAAAATTGAAAATAAGGCAGAATTTGATACACATTTGAAACGTTCATAAGCTGTAAATTTTGACAAATAGTAGCTCAGACAAAATTGCAGTAATTGTATTTTAAGCTCTGTGTGTTTCATTTGCTCACACTTCAAGGGAAAATGCTTAAAATCCCTTTCATGGATCTATAACATACCAAAAATGTTTACTTTCCTGAAGTGTCAACATTAATGTTCATAAAAAAAAGGTCTGGTAAATATTTTATGAATATCCATCATGTGAATATGCAATTTTGTCTACAATTTTGTGTATGAATTCGACTCAGCAAAAAATACTCCTGAACCCAGGCCCATTCATGCTCCAAATGTGTTCTGGCAGTCTTGAGCTGGGGGAAATAGGACCCATGAAGAATTCACTTGCCATTGTAAGCAGTCCAAGCCAGCTTTTAATTTGTATTTGTTTTCAGGACAAAGATTATGTGGGTGTTGCTTCTCTAGCCCTTACAGTGCGAAGCCAATTGCCTTTATTTGGACTTTGGTTTAAAAATATTGTATATTTAGTAAAGATCTCAAAGTTGACCATATTCCTATTACACTGCGGCATAACAGAAAGATAATGGGCTATGAGGGGGATTAATAAGATTTTTGAGTTGAAAAAGCATTAAATCAGTTTAACTCTGTAAGTAAGCTGTTCAAAACTGATAATATGATAATCTTTAACTTGATGTACAACCCCTATTGGTGTGCATTAAGATGTCTTTTGGCCTCTTTGTACCTGGCTCTTCCTCGGACTCAGGTAGCAGTAGCAGTCCTGTGAGTCTTACATATGGTGAAATACAGAGGAGGGAGGAAGGGAAGGTTACAGAAGTCTACACACTGTCAGTAGCTGGTATCTGGTTTTACCTGTTGCACAGACACCAGGAATATCAATTCCAGCTGGCTGTGGCAATTTCCTCTGCCAAGGAACAGTACAGCATAGCTTGTTAAATCAGGCTCAGGAGGCCATTCCTTCTGCTCACCTCTTGAAAGGCTGCAAAAAGCATTTGATGGTGTTTGTAAATCCTAGTGTGACGAGTTCAATGTTTTTTGTGTGCTTTTTTTGTCCCAGGTTAGTGCAAGTAAAACCCCAAGTGAAAAGCATTGCTACAGTCTATTTAGCTGAAGTAAAGGGCCCCTAGTCTAGAAGTGGCATGACATTTAGAAATTCATTTGACAGTTACTTACTTCAGTGGTTTTGAAAATGACAATGTTCTTTGTTTTGTTTTTTTCTCATTCTTTTTGAACCCCTGTTTTATATGTGTGTGTTTTTTTTTCCTCTGCCTAGACCTGGTTAACCATTTCTGTGAACAGGTCCTCAATTTTTTACTTTGTCCCTACTTTCCTGTCGTAGCCCCATCTTCCCCTGGTGTCGACTCCGTACCCTTACAGCGCACAGGCAGTCAACACGGCACACAGAACGCAACCGCGACCTTCCAGAGGGCCAGCTATGCTGCAGGCCCAGCCTCCAATTACGCAGACCCCTACCGACAGCTGCAGTATTGTCCTTCTGTTGAATCACCATACAGCAAATCTGGGCCAGCCATCCCACCTGAGGGGACCTTGGCTAGGTCACCTTCCATTGATAGCATTCAGAAAGATCCCAGGTGGGTGAAACCTTAATTGTCTATTATTTCTTGCTCATGCAGAGGTTTGAAATTGCAGTTTGCTTTGTGTATTTCTGCTGTTGAATATCACCAACGAAACCCCACGACCCGAAACCTGATGGTAAGTATAAAACTTTTTTGTATAACACTTTTATTCTGATGCTTTACTTTGGACAGGCTCTCATGAGCTCTTCTTAAAAATGAAATGATAGATGTGGTCTTGGATACATACGTTTAGCTTGATTTCAGTAGTGCTGCCCCTCCAAATCTTCTGGAAAGTTATTTTCTCTGAAAATGGAGTGGTGGTATGACTTTCGACTCTAACCACTGTGAACTGAACTTTCAAGGTATGCTTGGGCAGGAGTTGTTACAGTTGTGTTTTCTGTGGTTAATATTCACAGAAGGATATTCTGGTATCAGGTAGTGAGACTGAGCAATGTAAAACAGCCTATGACCAGGTTTGTGCTTCACCGTGTGTCTTATGCAAGCTTCTAATACCAGTATGTGATAGCGGAATGTGCTACAGCTTTCTATAAATGATTTTTACATTGCATGCTCTTTTAGTACCTATTGCAACTTAGTCACGCCCAACAGCAATACGGTTGTGGTATGTTCATGTGCCTAAGGAAGACACAAGAGGTAAATTTTATAGTCATCCACGTGCCCAGCAGACACAGAAACAGATTAGGGAGTTTTCTGGCATATGATTTGACTTCCATGATAACAGTAGTGCGAATGCTGGCTGCAATCATTGATGCACTTGGTAATGTTCTTTAATTTTCTGATGGGAAAGAGAACAGTTGGTTTTTTTTTGTTTTTTTTTTTTTTTGTAACTGAAGTTTAAACCCATCAAAGATGTTAATTTATACACTTTTTTTTTTCTGTGGCAGATGGTGTGTACTACTTATCAATTTGTTACATGTAATACGTAAGTGAACCCAAAAATTTGCACCCCTCCAAATTGGTGGAAATGTTAAGTAAAAATTTGTAAAGACTTTTCTTGCAGCATTAAAAAAACAGTATTCACAATCTGATATCTCTGCTTGTTTAGCATGAGGGAAGTTCTTTCTAACCAGGTACCCAATAGCAGCTAAATTTTATGACACATCAAAAGAATATTGGTAACCGGAGGGGAATAGTCTTTTTAATAAAAACTCAATGTTTTGATATGTTTGTATTCCAGAATATAAAAGCTAGCAGAAGAAAAAAAGGTTTCCTTTTGTAAATGTCTCATTTTCAAACTTAAAGGAAAATTGCTTTAGGAGTGCACAAAAGAAATGACTGTAATCCATGTGAAATGTTCTTAAGAGGTGCATGATGGCACTCTTGCTGACATACAGGAAACATATTTGTAGTATCTCTACAGGTGCTAGATATTATGTCTGTGTAAAATAAAAGGTCATCTCTGAGTTGCTCTGCAATCACTTTGAAACTGATATTCAGTTACCATCTATGAAATGAGCTTATAAAAGGTTTTCTCTTGCAGACTTTTCATTTGGCTGTTTTCTTATTCTCGGACTGTGAATAGTTGTGCATTCATGAGTATTGATTTTTGTAGGTAAAGTAGCAGCATATAGACATCCAGGTTAAATTGAACTTCATAAACTCTTAGAGGCAGTCATTAAATGCTGTTTTGCTATGATCGCTACTAAATGGACTCGGACTTTTCACTGCTTCTCTAAAAGAGGTTTGCATTATAAATCATGGTCTGTGGATCAAACGAATGAGATTGTGTGGTGTCCATTACCTAATGATGCTGCTCCTACTCGTTGGCAGAGAATACTTCTTATAAAGCAAGTTTTTCAGGAGGACTACTGATTATGTTGTTGTGCTTCAGTCTGCAGCAGCTATAGCCTGCCTTAGCAGACCAGTTTGTGAGACTACTTGTGGACCGTAACTATCGTTGATCGCTCAGATATTGGAAAGACTTTGAAAGATTGGAAGGTGATTAGAGAAAAGAAATAAAAGTGGTTAGGAGATGGCTGATTTATATGGATGGAGTATGCAACTTTGTATAAAAGTCAGGTTTGGAAAGGAGAGAACAGAAGATTTTGCAGGTGCTTGAATTTTTAAGGAAAGACAATTTATATAGTATAGCATATGGGAGATAAAAGGAGTGACTATAATTAGGAAAACTAGAATATTTTTTCAAATACACAAAATTTGCAGTAGTGTCAAGTTTCATTGTATTCCTCAAAGGATTATCATTTATATCATGCATAGCAAGAAGAAAGAATCTTGTTACCCAGTAAATGGTCTTGAGCAACTGAAATCTTGAGCTTCTTTACAGAGATACTTCTGCTTTTGTGATTTGCTTGCTTGTTTTTCATTTTTAAAATGACTTACATGAGTGGTTACAGAGTGGCAGGCATAATTTTCAGACACAGTCAACCTTTCTGCCAGAGGTCCAAACAAAGGTTTACTGGAAGAGCAAACTGTGAGACAAAAACAAATTAATTGCAGGCTTTTGAATAGCGTTTGCTATATGTTAGTCAGTTCAAGATGGAAAATAAATGCCCAGAAGAGAATGTACTTATCCTAATAAGCCATTAGAGTTTCCAAAACTGAATGCTATTTTCTGGACTCTTAAATTTAGATGGGATTTCCATATGAAGTCCAGGAGAAATGGTTGGCAGGCATTGCAGAAATAGACAACTTTTTCCATAGTTTGAATAGCAAACACTGCAGTTTTACATATATGTTCTGAGCTGACACTTAGCAAATTAATTTTTAACTCAGCATCTGTTCTCCATCATAAAATACAGCTCTCATAAAATACAGTTTAATATTCATTATCTTAAAGTTTAGCATCTATTTCTAAAAAGCATCAGAATAATTATCAGGTTTGTGGTAATAGATATTTTTTAACTTAGTCAGACTGCTAGCTGGTGAATGACATAGTGAAGATGGTGAAAACGACATGCATGTATTCCATCAGAGAGTCTGATGCTTTGTCTTAATTAGAAAGAAAAGGAAAGCCCTTACTGCATGTCAATAATAAAACTTAAGTTATGTGTATGGAAAAAAAACAAGTTTGAACATCAGACAATTTATTTACAAATTGATTATTTTGTTTGCTTGCTGTTAGAAGAAGGACAGAAGTATAAAGTATAGTTGACGTGAACTGTTTCATGCCATGATTTCTTACATGAAAATATGGTGTAAAGGAAGGGTGCAAAATAACAGTATTTGTTTTCTGAGGATTGTCTTGGTTTTATTTCTTGTTGAACTGTGAACAAGAGAAGTTGTGGGTGTTTTGAAGTATTGGAAATATGTGCTTGTAATATTTTTCTGTCCTGCTTTCATTTAAGAAAGATTTGTCTGTCCTTTTAAATTTCAAAAAATTCTTTAAGGTTTGCCCATCTGTAGAACGTGGGGCAACTGGAGTGCCCTGGAAATTGAAGCGTCAGTATGCAATTATCAGTCTATGTGTCTTCCAATTTCTATGCCAAAATATGTCGTTCAGATAAATACATATCAGTGATATTTGGTAGTAACTGGCTTTGCTTATTTACGAACGGGCTTGTGTCTGGTTTGGTGGGTTGAGTTAACAATTCTTGTGTTGTTTTGTGACTCCTGTTCATGCATGTTTCAGACTCCTTAGAACTGTTTCTTCTGAAGAAACTGGCTAATTTGGTGAATGCAGCTGCAAGAGGTTCATTCTTTACCATACTGCAGTCTGCAGCAATAACAAAATATCACCACAAGCAGTGGAATTGTGTTGCAAATAAAGAAAAAAATGAACACTTATAAATCCAGCTGCCTCACAGCAGCTCTTAACTTTACAGCGGTATGTGTTTAGGTCAGCATAGTGATGGAGCTTTCCAGGTATTGCATGCTTGAGCTGTAATGCTCAGAGATGTTTCTGCTTCATTCTGTGCATTTGGAGTCAACGTTGCATCTCATGATTTCTGCTGGCTGTAATTTCTTCCTTAGCAGAAAATGAAGGTTCTGGCTTCTAAACTTCAAAGTTGGCTTTCTTACCACTTATGAAAGGAAATAAATTAGATCAGAACATTCTGTATGGACTACTAATTTCAAAACTCCTCGTTGTTTTTCTGTTTTCTTTCTATTTTTTTGGTGTTTCATTGGTGTGGGTTTTTTTGTTGCAGTTTTTTGTGTGTGTGTGTGTTTAAATGTGCTGTGTTTTCAAAATGCAAGCTAGAAAGCTTTCTTTTCTGCCAGAGAAGTCAAAGAAATAGAATAAGTTTTAGTTAACTTCTGTATTCCAGTAAAATTGCATATGGGATCAGTACACACAGTTTGGAACATACTGTGTTAACGGGTGAATGTTTCTGCAGGAGTCTTTACCATATATTTAATCTTGCTTTGTTCCAAGTGTTCTCAGCACTAAAATAGTGTTAGTCTGCTGTAAACTGAATAGCAGCTAGGCAGTAGAATGGTATAAAAAGGTGGGAAAATAAGTGTAAACCTGCATGTGTGGGAGGTTGGACATGTTTATGAGAATGTCTGGTCGGTTCCTTAGGAGAGGATGTCACCTGCAGAAAGGAGCTTCAGTTGAGGGAGAAGGCCTTCCTGTGACCGTAGAATAGCTGATGACAACAGTGTGCTGTCCTGCCCTGTTCAGAGCTGACGTGTGGGCTGGGGTTCTCAGAATCCAACAGGCTGCTGGAGGTGCTGGTTGGACTCTGTCCTTCCTGCTAAGGATGTGGCTTGTAGCAGCTACTTATCCAAACAAGGACAGGTCTGCCATGTTCCAGGTTAAAGCCTTTACTACTAAATTATCATGTGCTATATCTCTGATACTAAATGATTTGTATTATATTAAAACATCTTGGGAAGACAGAGATCTCAGGGAACCAAACCATAATTCTTTAACCCAAGAGGTGGAGGGATGAAGTTCATATTCATGATCTGAATGTGACAGAACAAGGATTGCAGATTCACTTCCCTGGTTCCCTGTCATACAGTGTGATGGGCAGATCTCTTCACCCACAAGTTTTCGAAGGTCTCTCTTACCTCATCTGATATTAGGGGTA